AGTTATTCTTTTGATCACTCAATGAAATTTGTCAAGTCCATTTTTTTGTTCACCATCTCATAGAACATCTAATCGCAAGATTTTCAACGAAATTATCGTATACTTTGAATATAATGAAACAGGTCTAGCATTATTCATGTGCAATAATGAATAAAGTATTATGCTGAATTCATAATCAACAAATAAACATTTCAGTGTGAACAAATAATGGATACCTTAAAAGAGAACAGCTCGTATTCATTAAAATTGATGTACGCGATTTGTACGCAGATGATCGGAAGGAATATGCAAATGAGAAGCATATTAATGAGAATGAATATAGCTAATAAATGATTATTATTTGTCAGTAAATGTGACAATTTTGATCGCATTAATGACATTCGATGTATATCATTGATCATCTTCTGCAATATTCATAATGCATACATAACACATCTTATTAATCATCGTTATTATTATTGACAACATTCGATCATCAATCATACAAGCGATAATAGTAATCAAATATTACTTCGGTCATAACCTCTACCTATCATTTTATGAATTGCTTCAATTGTTAGAATACGAATAGCATGTACAGTAGTCTATTTGGAGTGAGAAGCGATGGAAACAATAAACTTTAGAAGTGAATGCATTCGGCTCCGGGATGTAAAAAAATTCTCAAGAGACATTGTTTGTATTCGTTAATGAATGATGGTGGCGGATAGCACATATTATACGATATGCTCCATATCGTATAGTATGATAATTGTTGATTCATATTTGATATCATATTATACTACCACATCGAAACGTCGTCGTATGGAGATGTGCATCGTTTCGAATTCGGAATATTGAATATGTAAATGAGTTAGTGGCTCAATCAATTTTTGAATCAATTATTTCAAACGTTCGGTTCGTTGAATGCATCAACCCAATTACNCATTGAATAACATTCAGAATTTATTCAAAGCGATTTGCACGAAACTTTTCATAAGCACCTATCATATTGCTGCATTGTAAAATAGATAGAATTGAGCATTCTTAAGATATCGAACAATGAAATCAATATTATTTTACATTTCCTGAAGTGAAATCAAAAGTTTTAGGAAACTTTTATGGTTGAATTTCAGAGTGAGGCGTTCATTGGTATTGTAAGAATTCACATAGAACTATAAAAAGATGAATGCCAATTGATAAAGGTTATGGTCATGTTCGATAATCATTGTTACATTCACATAAACAGCAAATTCATGCATGTTGTAAATAACGCCAAGGATGAAATGCATTGTCGAGCTGAATGTTTACCCTAACACAGTCATCAGTGAATAAATAAGAATAATGATAATAACAGCAATAAGAATAATACTGATAATATAAAATTGCCATCACTAAAAAAATTTCACAATTTTCGTTAAATTCGATCGAGTGATAGTAATAACGATAATAAACTAGTTGGAGTGATCGATTCAAGGATGCGATTGAATTCATTGTTAGAAGATAGTTGAAAGAGGAGTGAATTGGAGTGAAAATCACACAAAGGT